AAACAAACAAAAAAACAGACTTGTTATCCCAGGACCACTGTGTCTCACAGAAACCACAACCAGACGGTGAACAGGCGTCTGCAGGCCACAGCAGCGGGGACAAAGTACTAAGAGGAACCAACTCTGGTCTTTATTTTCCAATCGGCAAACTTTTACTATTCGGTGAAGTGCTAATTTTAGAACCAAAACAAAAGGAAAAGGAAACAAAAAAAATCACTCTCCACCTGAGACTTCTTTTGTGGCGCCACACAAAAAGTCTGGAATAAGGTTTTGTCCTCATATTGTTGCTATGCAGGCAGTTTCTGGTAGTAGAAAGGACTGTGACTCTTTTCTTACTGAATGAAGTGCCTTGTGTGAGTGTCGTTTATATGGGGATTTATTTTGTACATGGTGTATTTCCGGAGTACTCCAGTCTTTTCACCCACGATATGCTTTAAAATGGACACAAGTCTCTTTATATACAAGTTTTACTTCACTCTCTTTGGATTATGAAACGCTGAGCAGATGTCTCCTACATTTCTTTCTGTTCTCTGCTTTTTTTTGGTATGCTCGTGCCATTATTTAGGTGTGACTTTCTTTCTGCTTTCATTATATGTAGAGAATAGTTTTTTTTTTTGGTTTTGTTTTTTAAAGCGAAGGAGAACGCTCGCAGTTGTGAACTTCAAGCTCCACCTGTGAGTACCAGTAGTTCTTTGTGTTTGACCTGACAGCTCAGAGAAAAACTGTGCCATTTATTGCTCCGTCTCTAGTCACCTCACCTTCTTTTCCTCTCTCTTTATTATTTGCCAAATAAGGAAATGATTATTTTTCTAAACGGGCTTCATATCTTGACCAGGGTTTGAACTTTAAACTGTTAAACCATAGCGCTTTTTCTTTTTAGCCTCCTCCTACACTTGTTTTCGCCACTATAACGGGTGACTTCACCTTTGAGGGGCGACCTCTCTCTCTCCAAAGCGGCGCACGTGTGCAAAGGTGTCCTTCTTAGTTGTTTCAATTGCTCTGGGAGCTGGCAGCAAATCGGTCAAAGTGCCAGGTTTTTTCTTTTTGTTTTTGTGTCTTTTTCTTTCTTTTCCCTCCACCACACAGATGCATTTTAGGGACTAGATGGCAGTTCTATTTTTCTGGACTCATCCGAGCCTTGCTGGGAAAACCAGTGAAGACCAGATTTGATGTTTCTCCTCCCAGAGTTTTTTTTTGTTTTGTTTTTATCCTCGTGTGTGCGTTTCTCTTCTTCACCTCAGTGCCTACTTTTTGAGAGGAGCCCAGCAAAACCGAACGCTGCAGCATCGGAAACCATGGCAATAAGCTCCCCCCCTCCCCCCCCCCCCCCCCCCTCCCTCCGGCCTCTCCCGTCCGTTCGCTGTGCAAAAGCACTCGTCCCAGCTCGCTAGTGGGTTTTCTCCTCCATGGGGGCCTGGTCGAGGCACCAGAGTCCAGCGTCCACCTGTTTTCTGGTCTGTGTGGAACTAAAAGTGCCGGAACAGTTTGAATGTCAGTCGGTGGAGTTCACCAACGGAAGCCAAACGGCTCGACTCCGTCGCCATGGCTACCGGCTTTACACCTTTCAGGGCCCCGGGAGGAGAGGGGGGTTTGGGTGGGTCCATGCCCGGGCCTGTGCAGACAGGGCTCCCGGTGGAAGGGATCCAGCTGAAGGTACCGGGCAGGGACTGTGAAGAGCCTCATCACGGCACCGGTTCATTACCGCCCGGAGCCGCGGAGCACTGTTTCCTTTGCCCCCTCCCCCCCCTCTGGGCCAACATGGTTTGGCCCTTCGTCGTCCCGGTGGAGCCGCGCACGTTCGCCGTACGTGGCTCGTCAGGTCAACGCTTCCGGTCAATGGGTCGCTGCTCTAAAACCACTCTACTCCCACTAGTTTCTCCTGTTTTTTTATTTTAATTTTCCTTTCGGTTCCGAGGCCGCTGCTCCAACAGGCGGGAACCCCTCCGGTCAGCTCTGCCCTCCACGCGGCGTTCGGTCGGCTCGTCTCAGCCTCTCAACGATGACCTTTCTCTGAAATGTTGTTTGTATCATTGTGATATTTTTCTATCTACATCTTGCCAGTATTTGGGTTTGGATATCTGTCATTTACTCATTTTATATAGAATTTTTTTGTTCTACTTTTTCTCCCTCTGGCTTGCCTTTTAGGTAAACCTCAGTCAGGCCTTGTCTCTCCAGTCAGGAGAAGCCTGTTTCTGCCTCTTTCCAGTTTCTCCATCTTGTGTCACCTCACTCATAACCACACATTTAGTATCTTTGTGTTAGGTTAACACCAAAGTTCTAAAACACTTAGGTTTGAGTTACCGGGACTTTTTTGGGTCAGATTCTTCACTTCTTTTTCTCCTTTTTTGTTCCCTCAAAGTAACACATATCTGTTTTTTGTTGTGTGGGCAGAGCTTTGTCATCCTGAGCATCAGTTTTTCTTTCTTTCCCTAATAAAGGCTTAATTCAAACAGTTTAGTTGTCTTTTGTTCCCCCCCCCTCCTTAACATCTTCTCACCTCCATTATATTAGGCCAAAAATCATTAGTCTATTATCTCGCTGTACTTCATCTGGTCTGTGCTGTCAAAGTCATAAGGCTTAATCGTCTTCTGTTAAGGATATTTTACAGTTGGTGGGACTATTTTGCCATCAAAATCCCTTCAGACATGTCACAATAAAGCACATTTTCTTATGGACAGCTGTTTTGTCTTTTGTTAACAGGTTGACAACTCGGCAGAAATGGATGCGAGGAAAACAACTTCCTTTTCCGGACGCTGCTTGGTGTTCCAATTAGCTTTTTTTAAATTTAAGATTAAAAGTGGCTTAACATATGTAAGAAACATTGAGAATCACCATCAATACAAAAGAATAATCATGTCCAACAAAGTGGAACTGGTTGGTTTTCAATATTGCATAAGTCCATGCCACATTCAGAGGTTGAAAATCAACCATACCGAAAACAATTTTGGGAAGTACTACTTTAAAAAGTCCTGACTTGTACATATTTTCCTTAGCTCAGGGTAATGTCTCAGGATTTTGCTGAGACTGAGAAGTCTTCCATATTTTGTTGGCTGCACAGTGCAAGAGGCCATCTTTTTTCATAAAGTTCTGCACTATCTGTTCTCTATTGCAGAGTGACCCATCCATTTTATTTTAGCTTTATAAAAACTTAAACAGTACAGTGTGTGCCTAATATATCTGATATTGAAGGTCTTTTACACCCTTCAGTGCTGCCACAGACGTGATATCAGTACTGCTGTCACATTCCAACTATCCCTGACAGGTTGGGTACGAAAGGCCTGTGAAGCTCATTTCAAATCTGCAGATTTTTGTTTAAAGAAAAAAAAAAGAATCACATTTTCCATCTCTTGCATGGTGCTCCTTGTCTATGTAGAATGTAACAACCCTATGATAAATATTCATGTTTAATTTATAACTTTACACCATTTGAGATCATTTCCTAAAGCAATAGAAGAAAAATCTTTATTCTGTCTGGGGAGCAGTCGATTGTTAGCGTTTCAAATTCAGAAACTTTGTCTCCACCCCACTAAAATGACACTGTGTACTGAAGGTGTGTTTGTTCAAAGTTCACTTATCAGTGATTTGAATTCTGGAAGAAGCTACTTAGCCTATGCCGCCTATATTAAAAATGAAACTTCTCAGGAAGGTTTCAAAATACCTGCACTGTGGTTGTGGTGGTGGGGAATAAATTTTAAAAAAAGTGACAAAGATTGTGCTTTACTACTATGACAGCATCTTCACTAATGATTTACAAAACATGATTACATAACTCCCTAAAAAAAGAAGTGACTAAAATTACTAATGGCAACAGTGATTCATTTGAGCATACGCTTCTCTGCATGTCATCACATATTCATATGAGTAAAAAGATTTGAACAAACACCAACCTAACTAAGAATTTGGCAAATACACTTAACAAAAAAGCACAAAAAAAAAAAGAAAAAGTAATACACCTCAAAAATAAATACAACCCTTGTAATACTCTCGTCCTAAATGATGGTGGTACTTTCCTAAGTTTTTGCAGTGGCTTTTCAGACAGGCAGCAGAAATTAAACCAATAAGTTAATTGTGAGCTAAAAAAGTGTTAAGGAAAAAAATAATAATCTAGAACAATACAGATGAACTAAATCATGGCTCTGGAGGAGGAGCGCGTCCGGGCCGGGGGCAGGCGATCAGCGACGTCTCATTAGGCATCAACAACCATGATGTGTACAAAGAGTCCGGCGGAGGGGAGGAGGTTTCCGTTCCGATCCAGCAGGGGCACGTGTCTGTATCCTGCACGGGGAACAAAGCGGCTGCAGTCAGAGACAGAGACTCAGAGGCCCCACAAAGGCGGGATGCTTCCAGCCCGCTGATTTATGAGGGGTTACCACAAAGCTCACCCATCTGCAGGCTGTTGAAGGGAAGCGTGTACTGGCCCACGAACTCGTTGTCCGACGTGGAGTCGTGGTCCTCGATGAGGAAGCGGACCAGCGCCAGCTCAGGCACGTACACGTCGAACTGGAAGTTCTCATTCCAGGCGGGGTTAAAGCCTTTAAGAAAAAGAAAACAATAAAATAAAATAGGCGAAACCTGACGTTTTTGGGTCACTTTTAACACAAAAAACAAATACATTCCGACAGGTCCCAGAAGGAACAAATGCTATGCATGTACAACTTGACAGACATCAGTCATTTCTGCTCTTCGGTTCTTGAGCTACACCCAATAGGAGGCTGTTTTCTTAAGCGTCTGTCAGCTACCGTTGTTGGATACGGGCGCTGTCTCTTTCTCCGCCACGTCGGCCGGCACGCCGTAGACCTCCACCTTGACCAGCGGGTCCACGATGGAGGACTTCTTCTGGTTGACTTTGGGGAGCTGCTGGGCCGATATGATCTGGAAACAGGGGGAGAGGCATGGTGACGCCCGGTTTGGTATCCGGTTTGGTACCCGGTTTGGCGCCCGGCGGCCATCGGAGGGCGGGGCCTCGCCCCGGCGGCCTCACCATGACGTGCAGCATCTTGTGCTTCAGCCAGTCTCCTCTGGTCAGCGTGATGGGGTCGAACTCCGTGGCCGCCTCCCTCATGAACTCCGGCTTGAGGACGTAGCCGCTCTTGCCGTTGACCAGGAATTTCCCCTGGTTGATATCCATGTCTGTGCAGTTTGTCTGGAAGTTCAAGGCCACTGAAAAAAAGCAACAAAAAGAGGAGGGAATGAAGTAAGATGAGCCGACCCCAAATCGGGAGTGGGCCGGGATTCGGTACCGATCTGGCAGCCGGCGTTCCACAGGGGAACCGGGTTGTAGTTGGAGGAGTCGGTCCTGGAGCCCGCTGGATAAATGCGGCTCAGTTTGTCCACGTTGTGGCGGATGTAAGCATTAGCTGTTGAGGGAACAAACAAAAACAACAAAAAAAAATTAATGGAGCCAAAAGAATTTAACTTTAGTTCTGAAAGTTGGGCCTGGTGATCGTCTCACCCGACTCCTCCACCAGCTTCATGGCCTTTCCCTCCTTAAAGGACGACATCTCATAGAAGCTGAGGTTCTTCCTGGCGTCCTCAAAGCCGTGGAAGTGGACGCTCTTGCAGTAGACCACCATGTCGGACAGCTCTTTGGCCAACTTCAGCTTTTTCTGTTGGAAAAAAGTCAGTCAATGAGGCATCGTCCATAAAAAAAACCCAGCTGATGTCACGGCTTACCTTGCTCTTCTTCTCCTTTTGCTCCTCCTCCTCATCATCGTCGTTGGAGTCTTCCTCCTCCGTCACGCCGGTGTCCTCGGCTGCTGCCTCCTCGGCGAAGGCGGCCTCCAGCTTGTTTAGTCGCTTCCCCTTGATCAGGAACTTTCCTTTTAATTCCTAGACAGCGCACGCACAGGAGATACCAACGTTGGGCAACTGAGGCTGCGGCTCATCCTCCGGCCCACTTTTTACCCGCCTGGTCAATCCCGGTACCAACCTCCGGAGATGGGAAGTCGCTGGGCATGCCCTCGCCCAGGGGCGACGTGACCAGGGCGCTCCCCAGGATGGAGCTCATGTGTCGGGCCATGACCGCCTGCTGCTCCACGCTGCAGTGGTTCTCCAGGGAGAGGATGACCGGGTAGTCGGACGTCTGCGGATGGGAACAATCCAACAGGAGGAGCAAAATATAGAGTTTTTAAAAGCTTTTCCGGTGACTAGCAGGGATGCTCCTTGTTGCTACTGCTCAACCCACCTTGAAGGCATACTCCTTGATGGCCTTGATCGCATCCTTGAAGAGGATCTTAGAGGTGAGGGTGTAGCCGTGGTAGATGACGGGCTCGTCGTCTGACCCGTCCCAGCAGTCCAGCTCCACGCACCGGCAGCCCTTCAGCAGAGCCCTGAGAGGCCCATTCACCATTAGAGACTGACCGTTTTCACCCCATACCATCGTAGCTCAGATTGGCTCGGAGCAGCCGGACGAACACCTGAAGACTCCCGTTAATCAGAGAGGCCAGAAAGCTGGAGCTTACCTGACGTAGGCCTCGGTGCTGCTGGGCCCTTTGAGCTGATCCTCCATGAGGTAGGTGTTGTGGGAGGAGGAGATGAAGTAGTGGTTGAGAGGCTGGTGCATGTCCTGGTACAGCCCCTTGTTCTCGGGGTTGAGGACCATAGCCTCGGGATGGTGCAGATACATGAGGAAGCCATCTTTGGAGAGCAGCTTCTTCGCTTTGGCTGGAATGAGCAGAGCAGAACGGGCCAGTGGAGCTCAGCCCCTTATTCCTGAACACAAACTGGCTGAATCTTTCAGGCGTCCTATGAGAATTTACATTTGTCAGTGGAGCCCGGGATGAAGCATTCCCAGTGATTAAACCCAATGATGGACTTTTGCTGCTCAGATTTAGTAACAGAAGCACTGCACTTCTTCTGTGGTATCTATTGTACTGTGCAGGCATAAAGAGGCCCTTTATATCAGAGATGTGCCAGTCTGTCAACAGAAAACCCATTTTTAATGGTATCATTGGGGAAGTTGTTACAGAGATACATTATTTGTCCCAGTTTATTTAGCATAGTATAAAAATTTGATTAAAAAAAATAAATAAAATAAAAAGGAAAAACCCCTTATAGACAACACGGTGATTGTAATAATTTTAGATAACTCTCAGTTTCAGACATTTTTTTTCTTAATCTTTAGCTGATCCATCGACGAAGAGTGGATATAATGACTGATTAATATGAAACGCAGGGGTCTGGCAGAGGGACGAATCCTCTCCAGAGCCCACAACCTCAGTTTGAATAAGTACAAGAAAATAACTTTTCTCTATTCCTTTCTTTCAGACATAAAGAAATTAATGGGACCCAGCATTTGAATCCCTGATCCCTAATTCAGCTGTGGCCCAGTGTTAACCATCTGAGACACATCCCACTAGTTTCACACCAGAGTAGAGCAGACTGCCTCTAAACCCTGTGCAGTTTACAGTGCAACAAACCTGAGCTCCCTCTGCTTTGTTTACACCGAGTTCCTGTCATTTCTGATCACAGATGCAGGGATAAGAGAAGCTCTTTGTGCCAAATGCTTAGAAGAAGAAAACAGAAGCTAGAACTTCATGAATTCATTGAATTTCGACTGGCTTCTTCCTCATATAGCAAATAGTTCTTAGTGGTTAAAAGAATAGATTAATTTATGGAAAGGACTGTAAAAAAAAAAACTGACGATATTAAAAACAGTTGGTGTCTAAATATGAATATCAATGCAGATGTGAGGCACACTGCAGGGTGTCACCGCTCGGCTTAATTGTACTTCCCGTCTCAGCTTCCACAGGAAATACCTGAGCAGAAGGAGTCCGTCGGTACTGACCGTGCTCGTCCGGCTCGTACTTCTCGATGATTTTCTGCGCGTCGGACAGGGTGGCCTTCTCCCTCTGCTCCTTCAGCAGGAAGTCCACCAGGTTGTCGGGGCTCATGAAGCCCGTGCTTTTGGCGTACTCCCCGTAGATGACGTCGATCTCCTCTCGATGGGTCAGCAGGTCATAAAAATGTTCGATCTCCTCCCCAGACAGGAACCCAGATTTGGATTTGTCGCATTTCTGTATTGTGGAAGATGAAGGGTAGTAAGAATACGCCACATTTTTCACATCATTGTGCTGAGGGGGAATTTGTATCTATTAATTTCTCACTTTCTTTTTTTAGAGTTATCAAAGAATGTGGCATCAATCTCTACACGTGGAAATTATCAACGGTTTCAAAAGCAAATGGAGTAAATGCTGGATTTTGGCCTCTGTTCAAAGTCAAGTACCTGTGACTTCATACTTTCCTCCTTCAGTGATAACTTACTAAACAAAAACGCATATCTTGGTGTTTTCAGTAACAGTTTCAGGGAGCTGCTAAGCCGATGGAGCAGCGGCAGGTCATGTGAGGAATCAGCAGAAAACAGAGCGGGCTGGCTTAGTTTCAAAATTAGCATTTCCGAGGATGTCCGAAAGCAAACCGGACTTCTAAAAAGAGGATGCGTGACATACGAGGCCAACTTGTGGCTGAATGATTACGCAACTTGTGGGAATATTATCAAGAAACTGCTCATGTAGGTTTCAGCTTTACTGAAACGGTCGGTTGGGAGAATTGACAAAGAAAAATAACTGATCGTTAGCTGACTGGCTGCCTTTGTAAAAGGAGCTGCCTCCATTTGGAGATTTTTTAAGTTTCTGATTTGGATGTACTGGTAACAGCTGTTATTCAAACCAGCAAAAACGTTTGGTCCGTCACTCTTAACACGGTCACAGCGGCTTCCTCGGAAATATTTGGATAGCGTTTTGGTTTTTAACATCCAGGCTCCGGGGGAAGCTCTGCATCACCTTGAAGATCATTTCCGCGTACTCGTCGTCCATCTCGATGTTGATCAGACGCAGGAAGCTCTTGACCTCCGACTGGCTCAGCTTGTCGTCTTTGTTCTTGTCGGCTTTCCTCAGGCAGCTGAAGATCCAGCTGGGAAGAGCAGGATGTAAGGAGAAGGTCCGGCAGCCGGAGGTTCAAACCGCGCTTAGAGAAATCAGGGAAAAGACTCTCCCTGAGAGGCGCTAATCGGGGGTCAACGGACGGCCTGCGTTATCATGCAAGGATACTGCTCCCTGGTCTGCTGGCGGCTCAGGTTGCTGATGTTGGACACCAGCTTCTCCAGGCTCTTCACCCACTGCCTGGCCTCCTCCTCCGAGCTGGCGATGAGGTCCAGGTTCTTGCGGTGACCCTTAAACATGATGGAGAAGCAGCGGCCCTCCACCTGCTCCTCCGTGTTCTTCCTCAGGCCCTCCGACTGGCGGCCGATCCGCACCACGGAGATATCGCCGACGGCGACTGAGGAAAAGCAAACACGGAATGACGGGCGCCCTCAGACATGGCTGCTCGGCCTACTTGGTAAACATCAGCCTGCTTCTGCCGGTGCAGAGCTGCAGCTCCGCACACAACACCGTATCACTACACACGTCAACCTGAGACCACATGACACCCATTTATGGTCCCAATTTAAGTAGGAACCAGATCAGGGGCTGTTTTTACAGCTTACTATATTAAGAAAAAAAAAAAACCCTATTGCACTAGCACTCCCTAAAAACCTTATCAGCCTTATCATGAGGATCCCAGTTGTGCGTGATAATACCAAGGACGCTCAGACAGACGTTGAGCTTTACAGCTCCGTCATCACTCCTCCACCTTTATAATCCACGTAGGGAAAAGTTATCGAGTCCGAGTTATCGGACTATTTACGGCACATCTGCAACAAAACAATGACTTGTTCCGTGTTGCTAAGTAATAAGGAGAAGAAGAAAGGGGTCAAAAGTAAGAAATGGGTGTGGAGCTTGACCAGACTGGTGTGTAATAGTGGTTTACTGCCTTACTGCCCTCACACACACTCACACAAACACACGCACACACACTCAGGTGGGACTTTGGGAAGATACTCACAGGTCTGCTCCGATTTGAAGGTTTTCTTGGACTCACGCCACATGGTCTTGCAGTCCTCTTGGAGTTTGAAAAAGCGGGTCTTCTTCCAAGAGTGAGACTTGACCTTAAGGAGGTCTCCTCCTTTCAAGAGGAACTGGAGGTCTGGATCGCCCTCCATACCTGTGAGATCAGGGAAGGGGGAAAAAAACAGAAAGAGAAAAATTCTGAGCTAAATCCCATCTTACGCAAACCTCATGCCACAGTTAATTGAAACCATGAGCCCCTTCCTGCTGTCTGAACTTAATGTCAAAGTAAGAGGAGTCATGCTCAGAGACCTGCAACGTTTCGGGTTAAATAGATTTACAAAAATTTGACAAATAATCTGACATCCAAACTGTGACAGTGACGAGTACAGGCTGACCCCAGATAACCCTTTAGTGCAGTCCGCTTCAGGATGTGGCTCAGATAACTGCAGTGCAGCGTACCTAGAAGCTTTACGTTCGTTTGTATCACCTTCTGGCTCCTGGCATGGTGGCGTAATTCCTCAGTTTTGCTTATTTCGGGTTCTTTACGCATGCACGACATGGTGCTCCCGGGTGCTGTAACGCTACCAGAGTGAGCGCAAGAGGCGTGGACAGAGCCGTGTGTCTCTGAAGGGCGTAAACCAGCCCTAAAAAGTTGCCTTCATCTCACTCAGGACTTCCTTGAACCCGTCAGCTGATTGCCAGACTGACACCCACTTCGCGTTTTGTTTTTTTGATCTGAGCCCAAAAGCGGGAGGCTCAAACTCCAGGCACACTTATCCAATTTGCATGATAAAAAGGAGACCCACCCCACACACTTACTATAAAAGGCTTATTTATTTTAATAGAACTCTACATAATTTCTCCAAAATACGCATGCCCTGCGGTAGTTAACGCTGTCTTATATTAGTGGCTGACCAATAAGCATCACTGCTTATTAAAATAAAAACATCTAAATAATACCCCTATTTAATAATGTGTTTCACATCGAAGTATTTCCAAAAAACAAAACAAAAATAAACCGCTTTCATGAGGGGAGTTTTTTTTTTACTCATTTCGTTGCTCTGTGGCGCCATCCAGCGGCGTCTTGGCGGAACTTTCCACTACTGTGATTTAACTTAATTCAACTCACTCAACTTGCCATTACTCTGAAATTGTAGGAGTCCATTGCTGAAAGGCCTGGAAACGCACAGAGTTGTCGGTCCACGCCACGCCACGGCTCGGCTGGGTTTGTTGTACCAGATAATAAACCGTGTTTTGGTTTTGGCTTTGCCCGCTTGTGTCCGCAACAAGGTGACACCAGGCCGGTGGAAGGGCCACACCTTTAAGCACTGCGTATTACAAACGAGTCCAGGTGACCGTAAATGCGCAATCTGTCCGTGTCCGCTGTCAAAACATCCGCAATTCGAGAAATAAAGTGCAAAACTATAGTTTTTTTTTATTAGAAAGATAAATCGATTAAAAAAACTATTCAGCTACTCAAATTTTTGTGCACATGCGATCTTCCCCTAAAGCTGGTGGAGAAATCGAGACGCGGTTCCACCAAAGCGATGCAAGACGCACTAAAATGAACACAGGCACAAAATCAAAAGTGATCTTACCAATCGTTTTCTTCTCCAGCCCATTCGTTTCCATTTTTTTCTCCCTTGTTTCAGCTCTCAAAACTTCGTTTCACTACAGCAGACCTCTCATGGGTGGGTGCTCCCTGTGTCCATGGGCGCAGATTGGGAATAAAAAACTCGCCTTTGAGGGAAGTTGAGTCGAAAACGAGGAGGACGTGAGCTTGGGTGGTGGCGCACAGGTGGGATTCTGCTGGCAATCTGGAGGCAGGCTTCAACACCGGTTTGACAAGCCTGCCATTCAATGCGCTGCTGATGTCACCGCGGGGCAGGTTACACCTTGAATGTGCCAACTTGTTGCGGATAGGTTAAGATAACCTTGTTTCCTCCATTAGAACGTGTTCAAAGTCGTTATTTACTAATGGTTTGTCCACCTATGCTGAAAAACTGCTCAGTGCTTTGGTAAACCTGCTATATCGGCCAATTATAAACCAACAAGACACTTGTGTGCATGAGCTGGGTGGGGCTGCTCACCTGAGGGGAAACCAATAACCCTAGAGATATTGTTGACTGTAAAGTGAGAAGTAATATCTACACTCCAGTGAAAGCCCCTTGGCAAATTTAAGATTAATGTGGACATATGTTTCTTCCCTTTAAACACCAGACAAAGATGGCCAGAAGGGCTGGATGTTCAGAGCTGGCTTGGTTCCAGCCCACACAGTTGGCAGTGAGCTTGAGGATGTTGGTGTATACTGAAACTGAATGGGGGTAGAGACGAAGTCTCCACTTTCCTTTTCACGTCCAGCTTTGCCTTTTGCAGGATAATAGCGGCCGGTGCGTCGGGGCTCCTGTGGCCCTCAGCACTTCCCTTTCAGGCCTGGCTTACCCCCGCCGCACCGTCAGCATCAGGATGAGTGAGCTTCAATGCTGCAAAAGAGGGAGAGCTTTCGGGGCAGGCGCAGACCAGCCCCCCCCCGAAAATAAACAGGGCTCAGGCCGGAAAACAGATTGCAGCACTTGTGTTTAGACTGAGAGCAAACAATGCAAAAAGTCCTATATTCTTTTGTGTTACTTCAGTTTCGGGCTGTCTTCCTTCTGCATAATAGTAACTACAGATTTGTTTTTTCCAGAAATTGGAGTCATTTTCCATCTAAACAAGTTTGAACATACCTAAAAAAGTGTTGGTGTTGTGACTTTTAGTTCACATTGTGATAAATTAAGCAATTATTCTTATCAGCACCTTAAAATCTACAAAAGCAGAATTTACAAAAGGCCTCAGCTTCAATTTAAAAGTCTGGAAGCAGACATTTAGGGAGTCTTCTGTTGTGAGTGAAGTTTCTGCGTTTGGCTTGTAAAACAAGCAAGAACAGGCCCAGCTGTTCCCTCACATACCACTGATGCCATCCATAGCTGCTCTGCTTTGCCCTCAGATTACCAAACATCCAACCGGGAATTCTCACCGAAATGTGGAAATGTGAAACCTGACTGCTTCGAAATCACATATGCAAAAGTTAAATAAAGAATACCTTTCCAAGAAATCTCCACGTTGCAAAAGTTACCTTTTATCATGCATCATGCATCTTAGCACAGTTAAACCGCAATTAAGTTTGCATAAAATGTCTTTGCAAGAGTATCAACTCTCTAACACATTTCAATACAGAGACTGACCCAGCGGTCCTAAATTCACTATGGATTGCCATAAAGTCGATCCACAGCAGGTTTAGGGTCCTGTTCTTTGTCAATTTGGGGAGAAATTAACCTAAAAAGACGTTCAATTGACTGTTACTTTAACTGGTTATCACTTTCACTTCTTAGTTTTCCCCTTTTTCTCCATTGTGCTCTAGATCTGAACTTCAGAAAATCACACCCATCAGTGTAAACCTCGTGACACATTTGGTTTCACTGTATGCAGCTATGAGACAAATTAAGTGGATTTCCATGAAGCAAAGTTCTCTTTAATGGCCGAAGAATCTTTAACTTCTGTCAGTCACATCTACATCATAATCTTGTTATTAAATTGTTGATAGCATTCATCATTGGTAATATAAAATGTAAACTGGAAAGGGAGGGCAGAAAGCATCCCGTATTAACCTTGAATTATATTGTTTTTATTAAATAAAAATGTTGCTGCCATTATTTGATGCAAATACAGAGTTCTAGGCAGCCTTGTCGAAGACATTAGCGCCCCCTGCTGGATGTGTTGAAAACATTTCAAAAGTATGAATGCATTGACCAGCAGTGCTACTTCAATATCTAAAATAAATACAATTACACGTGAACTCCTTTTCGATAGTGCAAAACCATTTCCAGCGTCTTTTCCCCGAAAAAAAAAAAAAAATTCCACGAAGATGCTACCAAGATGGCGCCATCTTGGCCCCTCCTCCTCCTCCCGTTACCTCCTACGTAATAGGCTGCGTCAGTCGCGCGTGAAGTTGTGTTGACAGGGGTGGCGGAGTTGTCAGCGGAGCAGCAGCAGTAGCAGCCAGCTTTACCGGACCCGAATGGAGTAACCTGAAATTTCCGGCTCCGTCTCAGTTTTTTTTTTTTCGCCACGAAGCGTTGTCCACACCGTTTTTAAGATACCAACATGGCAGACGACCAGTCCGCTCAGTCCTGGTCGATCGACAGGGACGATTACGAGCTCAACGAGGTGATAGGTGAGTAGCTTAGCATGCTAAGTTTAGCATGTTAGCCTCCCCAGCCTGTAGTGCAGTGTTGGCAGCCTACTGTTGCTAGCATGTTAGCATTTCATGTCTGGACATTACAGAAGTCAAGTCAGAACCCGTCGCCACACTGCGGTATCATCAGTAACCCGGTAGTTTCCCTCTGGCAAGGCCAACTGTTCTTCTGAGAGCTGAAATGAGACTTTCCTGTCCACTAGCCATGAGGCTAGACGGCTAGCTAAAGCATTTTTAGCCGGCAGTACGTCCGGAATCGTTGTTTAGAGACGTTGCTCTTGTGCCAAAAGTAAATTACACCTTGTAGAAAGCTGTTCTCAACGCCAATCCAGACAAAGTAACTTATAACATGCACAATAATTAGTTTTAACGCCAACTGCATTCATTCCGCTACATTGTGAGTTGACTTGTACATGTAAAGTGTCCATTGTACGAGACACCATCCAGGTTTCTCCACTGAAACGGACTTTAGATATCCTAAAGGAGTTTTCATTTTCTGACTAATCGTTTTTATTACTGGTAATGATTAAATCAGGTAGTGGAGCTACTGCAGTTGTCCAAGCAGCTTTCTGCAAGCCGAGAAACGAGAAGGTGGCCATCAAACGCATCAACTTGGAAAAATGTCAGACTAGCATGGATGAATTACTGGTAAGAAACTACTGCACACTTTGGGGCAGGTGTCCGTAGTACAGATATTTTCTAGATATTAGTACTTGTGTGTGTGAGTGTGTTGAGCTGGGAGTGGTGTTGATTGGTGGGGTCATATCAGTGAAGAACAGATAATTAAAAAAAAACTTCATACCATGACAACTGCTGAATCCTAGGACTAAGCAATACAACACTAACTTCTTTCTAGATAAATATGAAGAGGTCTGATGCTCAACTCCAAATGTTTTATTCAAACAGCGCTGCAGCATTCTTCACAGTGTCTATTTTTTCATGCATGTTTATGAAACATGCAGATTTCCATCTATGATTGTCACTTTACTACACCAGCGCACACTCAGTTATGTGAGCCATTTCAGACGGATTTCAGCCCAGTCGGCACCACAGAGAGTGACAGCAAAGCTTTAGCGTAGTTAAGGTTTTTTACCTAGTAAAATACATCTTTTTTTTACAGAAGCGTAGTACAGTCAGAAAAATGATCTGAAGTGGTAAGAATGGATAGAATGGATAGATAGATAGATAGATAGATAGATAGATAGATAGATAGATAGATAGATAGATAGATAGATAGATAGATAGATACTAAAGGAAACTGTGTAATCGCTTAAAATGTTTGCATTGTTCCGAGCAATGTGGCAGTTGGATATCTGAATTACATCTGATGTTGTTCTGTGCGGCTCATTTCTGTCCAGCATTGTTAATTTCCCAGCGAGTGACCATCTCCTGCACATTTCTCCCTCCTCTGTGTGCAGAAAGAGATTCAGGCCATGAGCCAGTGCCACCATCCAAACATTGTGTCTTATTATACCTCCTTTGTGGTGAAGGATGAGCTGTGGCTGGTGATGAAGCTGCTAAGTGGCGGTAAGTGCTGTAAAACTTGGATAAGAAAAATTGTCCTGCTCCTGGCTAAGACTTCCTTTTCTTTGTCATTCTGTCACCTTTTATCTTCAGAAGACTGTGAGGCTTTTGTAAGACCAATTAAATGGAGCTACACCCTGCAATTTTAGTAAATTGAGTTTCACGTTTGCCTGCTTGAATCTGTGTCAAAGTCTTGTGAATTAATTAATCAGCAACTTACTATTTCTGCTCTTCAGAAGAACATCAGACATTAAAAAAATAAAATAAATCTCAAAATTATAACCAGCTGTGAATAGTTGATAGTTAAGTTGGGGGCTGTTTTTAAATAGATGTGTCGGCTTGTCTCTATTTCTCTCCCTCTCTCGCTCAGGCTCAGTTTTGGACATCATAAAACACATCATCTCCCGCGGCGAGCACAAAACGGGCGTGCTTGACGAGGCCAGCATCGCCACCATCCTGAGGGAAGTCCTGGAGGGGCTGGAGTACCTTCACAAAAACGGGCAAATTCATCGGTTAGTTCTAAGGACGAGCCACCGCCGGCTGACGTCAGCCCGGGCTGAGCGCCTGGTCTGAACCGGACCTCCCTCTTTTAATATTTAATACAGTGAAAATGCATAATTGAGGAGGTTTGTTTTACACAAACGTTCCTCCCAGGAACACAGTGAACCAACACTGAGCATAAAGGCCGCTCTCCAACCTCTGCCCCTCACTGTTGTTCAAGTGGGAAAGTTCAAAATCAACAGGCTTCCCATTCACAAAGATTGTGTCATTCATTTGGCTGAAACGGGTAATAAAATCCAAAGAACAGCTGGTATTATTTCCCCAAATGTGCGGGCGTTAATCGTCAGGTCCTCAGCGGAGCGACAGAGCAGCAGCTGATGGAACTAACGATGATGTGACTAACTCACTTACACCTAATCGGGGAAGACGGGGCCAGAGCAGTCGGGGCCGGCTTAAGCCATCCCAGGACCTGGTGCATAGTTTGCTCTGTGTGTAGTGTGCAAACACACATCCAGAGGATTACAAAGGAATGGATCAAAGGTGCAGCTTTTAACACTTGCGCGTACAAAAGCAAAGAGCGGCCGCTCATTTGTTCTGCCTGGTCAGGCGTGTTTCACTTATCACCGTGTGATATGTTGCTCCTGCTCTGGGACTTAACCTCCCTTCTCCTCCCGCACAGGGATCTGAAGGCCGGAAACATTCTCCTTGGAGACGATGGCTCAGTGCAAATCGCTGGTACGGCTTTTTTTTTTCTTTCTTTTTCACCTCATTATTTGCTAATATTAACGGTTTTGACACCGAGTGTGAAGTGATATACTACGAAGACGTGAGCAGACTCATTTTGTCCCACTCCTCAGACTTCGGCGTCAGTGCCTTTCTAGCGGCCGGAGGAGACATGACGAGGAACAAGGTCCGGAAGACGTTTGTGGGAACGCCGTGTTGGATGGCCCCCGAGGTCATGGAGCAGGTGCATGCCCGTAATCCCTCAGCCGAGATCGAACGGGGGGGAAACCCGAACGCTGGGCTCACGCGGCTCTCATTTTAATCCGCAGGTCCGCGGCTACGACTTCAAAGCGGACATCTGGAGCTTCGGCATCACGGCCATCGAGCTGGCCACGGGGGCCGCCCCGTACCACAAGTACCCACCGATGAAGGCCAGTGTGGTTACGAGGGGCGGAGAGACTGAGAGAGGTTTGTGGATTTGGGGATTTGAAGTAACATGAGACTGTTTTTCCCTTTTTTTGGGCTGCAGGTTCTGATGCTGACTTTGCAGAACGACCCTCCCTGTCTGGAAACGGGCATCACAGATAAGGAAATGGTGAAAAAGTACGGCAAGTCTTTCAGGAAGATGATCTCTTTGTGTTTGCAGAAGGATCCGGAAAAAAGGTCAGTGGAACCCCGACTCTTTTGTGTATTTGTAGTCGCTCGGGTTGCACTTGGCTTTGTGTTTTTTTTTTCATGCGTCTCTTTTGTTATTCAGGCCAACCGCTGCCGAGTTACTGAAGCACAAATTCTTCACTAAAGCTAAGGTGAGACGCGGCTGGAAGCCGCAACCGGAAAGTAAACCGAAGGGACTTTTTCATCTTTGATAAAAGAAAGTCTCTCCATTCTGTTCCAGAACAAAGACTACTTGCACGAGAGGCTCCTACAGAAAGGTCCCACAATATCCGATCGATCCAAAAAGGTTTGAAAGCCGTTGCTGTTGGTTTAGCTTTGTGTGCCATTGCTGTGTCTTAACTCTGAGGTTAGTTGAGGTGTGTCTGCTGCCCAGGGTGTGTCCCAGATTCCCAGATTTCTGCCACATGCATGCTGAGAGATGCCTGAACAGCATCAAAGGGGCCACGGATAAGTCAGGAATGAGTGTCAGCTTTTTTTCCCTTTTTTTTTTTTGTCGTGTAGGTGCGTCGGGTGCCCGGGTCGAGCGGCCGTCTCCACAAGACGGAGGACGGCGGGTGGGAGTGGAGCGACGACGAGCTGGACGAGGAGAGCGAGGAGGGGAAGGCCGCGGTGGCCGCTCTGCGGGTGAGAGCCTGCACGCCGCCCACTGGGCGCCCGACACGATGGGGCCGTTTCCACACTTTGGCTTCGACAGTGTCGTCCAGTTTTGGTTCTGGACGTCCTGAGTCGAGCTGGAATGGGTTTTCTTAAGGCCTTGTCTCAATTTAAGTCAGAGTCACAGGGTCGGCTTACAAACGAATGATAGCGTCAGTAATACAGGTTATTTATGATGCCGACCTTTAGCTGAAGCAGTCAAAGGGAAAATCACGAATCACTTTCCAGTGTGCGTTGATGCTCCAATGTTTTTCCGGGTGTGGGCTTTGCTCTCCTCTGTCTTATCTGTGACGTCGGTTTACCGTGTCATGTGCTCTTGTGTCAGAGTCCTTCAATCGCACAATGCTCCATCAGCCCGATACTGAGGGGATAAAAGGGAAATTGCATGTATTTAATCCTGACAATCTTGTCATGTCCATTCTGCAGTCGCCCAGAGTGAAGGACGGGTCCCACAATCTGGAGGTGAGTCCCTTTCTGCTGGACATGACCTGAAATTGACGATATTTCTTTGAAAATACTGCTAAGACAAAGTGATCTGCATGACCGTCACATGTTTGTCTCCTGTTTTTTTTGTTTTCTTTGCTGTTATTGTTGATTTCCGGTGCGGTCGATCCAGTAAGTTTATTTCTAAATTTGTCTCTGTTAGCTTTTCCCACCAGCAGATGGCTCCACGGCTCGCCTGCAGCCGCCCGGAGCCGCGCCGGACAGGCCTGTGAACGTGGGCCCCAAAGCAGAGGACGCTGGCCCTCAGGCTCCCGCCCAGCCGGCCAGCCCCTCACACGGACCTGCCGCCGAGGTGACGGCACCAGATGATGTCATGTCAAACAATGAACGCAGTAAATGGCTGTCACTTAAAAAAAAAAGTCATCACAAAAACAGCCCGCTAGCGTATAGTAGCCAGAAACACACCTGTAGATACAATGAAAGGGATCAGTTAGTCGTGTGTGAGGCTGTCCCCAGAGGGCTGACAACCAGGTTGACATCCAGCTGTTTGTCTGACATGTTTTTTTTTTTTTAATATTTTTATTTTACTGTGTATCATTTATTTACACATCAGGAGATCATACATATATTGATGTAGCATACATTGTATAAAGCTTACACGACTTATCCAACTTTTATGTTTTCTTTTTTACACATTATTATTATTATTTTTTACTCCTTCCCTCTTCTAACGTAACAAAAACAGGACCAAATAAGTATAATTACATTAAATAAAGAAAGAAAGAAAGAAAGAAAGAAAGAAAGAAAAGGATACATTAACAACCAAATAAAAATTAATTAATTGTCTGACATGTTTTTAAAAAGCCGGTGTCTTTGTTCTGTATTCTCTCTCATGTTCCATCGCTGTGGGGGGTGCAGGAGCCAGCCGCCTCGTCCAGTATCCCCATCAGCCTCGTCCTCCGATTGAGGAACCCAAAGAAGGAGCTCAACGACATCCGATTTGAGTTCATGCCTGGCAGAGGTGGGAAACCCGTGCAGCCCCCCCTCCCCCATACTGTTCCACTCGCTCATGTCTTTACCTTTTGTGTCCTCAGACTCTGCTGATGGAGTTTCTCAGGAGCTGGTCTCAGCTGGTCTAGTGGATGGGAGAGACCTAGTCATCGGTATGTTATCGCTAAGACAGTTTTATAAAGACATGTAGGCGTTAAATCATCTAAATGCACTTAACGGGTATTTTGCTAATGTTAAAAATGGATTTTCTTAGCCGCTGATTTGATGAGTTAATGTTTATAAAACGCTCATGGATGATATAGGGAAAGTGAAAATGGAAAATTTGTAATTCTTCAAAGCTGAATTCTAATATCTCCACAAACACATCCTGCTTTCTTTCTCAAAAGGATCTAACCTGTTTATCACGTGGAAAGATGGAAAGTAGATTTATTGGTCTAAAAATGGTCCAGTTAGTTTTACAGTTACTGTCTGTTTTTGACGCTGTTCCTTTGTCTTCTTCGGTCCAGTTGCTGCAAATCTGCAAAAGATAGTCGACGACCCTCTCAGTAACAAAAATGTGACCTTCAAACTGGTAAGTTGGCGTGTGCACACTCAGGAAAGGCCTGGCTCTGTTTTTTACTTTTTCCTCTTTTAAAAAAACAAACAAACTGTTGTTGTCTCCCCCCCAGGCATCTGGTGTGGAAGAGTCCGAGATTCCCGACGACATAAAACTCATTGGATTTGCGCAGCTCAGCATCAGTTAAGTGGAGCAGAACCCGCCACGGAGGACAGAAACTAATGGTATTGCACAGCTGCATTGTAGTCAACTCCAGGACACCACTGCTGCCAAAGAGAGGAGGTGCAGGAGGGAGGGGAGGAGGAGGAGGAGACGGGAGGCTGGCAGGAGTGGGACACTACCGCAGGATGCATGAGGACCACACAGAGGGGTTCAGCTCGTCACAGGAATCACACTTGAAATGTTTACAGTGCGCTTATACAGCAAACGGGAGAAGAAACGCAATCAGCTCTGATCAGTTCCCAAATGATTTCATCTTTCGCTCTCCTCCTCGTACACAAGCACAATCCAGACCATCTCCTGCCAGTACTGGAAAACGATTGCCTTTTTTTTTTCTTTTTTCTTTTCTTTCTTTTTTCTTTTCTTCTCTTATCTTGAAATCGGTCGTGCCACAAACCTCATGCGTGCCGTGCCGCCTTTCACATGGTTACCGCTACCTGGAAACTGAAAAGTGTGAGTTCAGCCTTAGTTACCAGACTGCCGGCGTGTTTGGGGAAAGAAAAAAAAACAACAAAATCAGTCTGTGATTATTTGGCATCTCCTTTTGTACGTCAGCCCCCCCCCCAAAAAGACATCTAAAACAAGCCAGTAGCATTTTACACCTTAAAAAAAAAAACGGGCCAAGAAGAAGAATTTGTGAAGAATTAAAATTACCATTGGTTAGAAAAACATACACACAGCAACACACTTTAATTGGCGTCGTTCGGCCTCCTTGTAAAAAGGAAAATATCTTCTCTAAGCCCAGCTCTGCCCAGTGTTCTAAACTATGCAACGAAAAGAATGAAAATGG